TGCACGTCAGACCGGCCCAGTGTTCTGGATCCAGAGCAGCAGAGGTGCCACCATGCAGCAGATCCCGAACAGCAGAGGTGCCACATTCAATGCATGCCAAACCAGCTCCATGCATGCAGCAATGTCCAGGCACTGTGTGCCGCACATAGAGCTGACCCGGGCAAATCAGCCCATGCAGGGCCCTGCCCCCACTCCAATTCCCCAGGACCTGAAAAAGCATTGGGCGGGCATGGAGCAAGTGCCTGGATGCACTGCCTCTGCTCCACCCCACTCCTCCACCACTCCTCCACCCTGCTCCATGGGGCCACCAAAGTGTGGGACCTGGGGCAGTCACCCTGATTCCCCACTCCCCCCAGGGATGTCCCTGGCTGCACATGGTGCAGGCACCCACAGGCAGCATAAGAGGCAGGATGAGAGAGCTCCGCAGGCCAGAGCTTTGCCTGCCCTGCATTACAGCTAGTAAGAAACAACAATGCAGACAATAGCATCCCAGAAAAAACATCTGGATGTGTTGCATGTCTCAACCCTCACGGAAGCCAGCCAGAGGGAAGAGTTACTTTACAGAGAGCATGCATGAGCAAGTGCATGCATACATGCATATGCAGACCAGGGTTACGCTTTGACCCATGGGGGGGAGCAGGGATCTGCAAAAAAAAACTGGGCTGCCCATCATGATGCCCTAATAAAATCCCTAGGTTATGATCCCCAGATTATGGTTTTCAAATCTTACAGGGGGGCTCTCGCTTGTTATGGGGGCGCCTCAGCCCCCCAATCTCCCTGGTCCACACACCTGCGGGTACACACACGTGCAGGTCCATGTGTACATATATATACCTGTACATGTGTGTGCACGCATGTGCAAAAGCAAGGAGCACCATGAGGCAGGGCGGGGTTCCACCTTTGAGCCCAACCCGTTCAGTACCACTTACCTGGGTGACAGAAGCAGCGCGGGAGCAGGGGCAAGTGGATGCTCGGGGCCAGGCTGTCTCCCTCCTCCCCCAGGGCCGGCTGCTCCACGAAGTCGTCCATACCTTCGGCAGTGGCGAGAATGAACCAGTCCCGCACCTCCGCCCGACCGGAAGTGGTACGTCCCACAGGACGCGACTAGCCCACTAGGAGGGGGCGGCTATGTTTGTTCCTGGCAAGCGACCTCAGAGTACCTGTCACGTGACCCACGCCCTTAGTTCCTAGTGACATCTTTAAATTAATCCGGGCACGGACATCGAGTGGCTTTACCGTTATCAAGAGCAAAGCCAGTTAGTTCTGAAAAAAAAAAAAAAAGAAGCAAGGCTTTCTTCAAGTGCCTCCGAGCTGCCTTCAGAATGACCTCGCCAGAGGTGTACTGCAGCCGGGGAAGAGACGCGTAGCACACATGCGCTATCTTCACAGACGCCGGCAGCTGGCGTTGTGGCAGGGGCGGGTCGTGGAGCCGATCCGGTCACGTGACCGGAACCTGGGCTTGCCGCTTGTTCCCTGCGGGAGCTGAAGTGACTCTCAGTGCGCAAGCGTGGGTTTCCGGCCATACCATCTTCCCACCACTGGAACCTGCTCGTCCGCCCGCGGCTGCAGATATGGGCCGGCTTGCGCCGCGTGCTCCAGGGGAAAGAGTCAGTCTGCACTGCCCTGCACACCGAGGAGATAGCAATTATTATTTTTATTATAGAATTATTAATATTATACTATAATTATTGTAGCGTAATTATAATTCATATTATGTTAATATAACAATTCCTGTTGTATATAATAATATATATCATTACTGTTATTGTTCTAATCATCATTATTATTGTGATTGTTCATATTCATATTAATTATGGTGATATTATTAATATAGTTTCATAGTTTCTAGGGTCGGAAGGGACCTG